GAAAAATAGATGGGCTGCTCACAACATGAGAGTGAGGGATTAGCGATGACGCTTTACTGGTATTCCATCAAGTCCAGAGAATGGGAGGAGGGGCCCCAGTAGGTTGGGTGGACCTTCATGGTGACCTAGGAAGGCATGGATGAGTGCCTCACAATATGGACAAGCTTAGAAAGATTCCCATCTGTGCTATTGGAGGGAATACCCACTTGGACGGCACCACAGATCCATTAGCTTATTGGGCTACCTGGGGTGTTTACAGAGGAACTGAGGGCTTTTTTAGCAAAAGGAGTCAAATGATGACATTCTCAGGGTTTCTCTGAGTGAAGGCATGAGCCAAAGAGATTTTATGGGAGATAGATGCCAGATAGTTATGTTCCCAGGGTTTCCCCAGGCAGGGGCAAGAGCCAGAGAGAGTTTATGTGAGTGGCCCTCCAAAACTGCACTTGGTTCTTCAACTGCATGTGAATATGAGGTGGGGAGGAGCACTCCTGACTCCATGGTTATAGCCTGTTCTCTCTTCAAACACCAGAGAGCAGAAAATGGCAGCGGGAGGGAAATTGGGCAGTGTATCTGGGTTGTTGGGAAATACCTGGTGAGCTGGTTTTTTAATTATTAAATTTTATTTTTTCAATTAATATACATTGATTTTCTTTCCCTTCCCCCTCCTGCCATCTCTATGAGGGAAAGAGAAAGCAAAAAACCTAAAACCTTGTAATGTGCATAGTCAAGCAAAACAAATTCTCATATTGTCCCTGTCTAAAAATGTGTGTCTCATTCTGCATATTGAGTCCAACATCTCTGCACCTGGCGATATGTTCCCCAGGAGCTATTAAAGAAACTGACACTTGTTGCCTTGTCCTAAGACGTCAGGAGATCATGCACACCCCAAAGATAGCCAGAGTGGGACGTGTGGCTTTGACTTTTGTTGGGTGTGGTGTGTGAGATCCTGAAGAAGCTCAGAGGTTAGAAAAGGCTAAGGGGGTTTTCTCAGACAATTTGATAAAAACAAGACATACTAAGGAGAAATACCACACACACCAGTAGGTCCCAAGGCAGTAAGGGGTTTCAGATTCAGTCACTGAGATGGGCCAGGGCTGAGACCCCCCTCTTCTTTACTCCTGATCTCTGGCCAAGGATGGAGGGAAAGAGAGGGCCCAACAGAGAGACAGAGAGAGAAGCAAGGAGAGACAGAAAAAAACAAAACAGACAGAAATAGAGGTAAGCAGGGAAAAACAGAGACAGAAAGAGGGAGGGACACAGAGAGATAGCAAGAACCAGACAGTGAGAGGGAAAGAGATGGAAATAGGCCTAGAGATGGAAACACAGAAAAAGTTAGAGATAGACAAGGAGCTAGGAAGACATGGGGGGGGGAGGGGGGAGGGGAAGAGAGAGAGAGACAGAGACAGAGACAGAGACAGAGACAGAGACAGAGAGACAGAGAGAGACAGAGAAGAAATTAGCTAGGGATTTTAGAAATGGAGAAGAAGACAGAAGAAGGGGGAGGGAGACGGAAAGGAAGAGCTGAATTGGGCTCTTGCTCACTGGATAGGGAAGACAGCCTTCCCAAGTCCCCACAGCCTCCATGTTCTCCTCCTTCTCCAGCTGTTTCCAGCCAAAAGGAAAGGCTTCAGGGAAGTGTCCAACCTTTCTGAGGAGATGAGGAGGTTGGAGGAGGGGAGGAGTCAGGTCCCCCTAGGGAATGCTCACTGATCCTCCCAGTCCACCAGGGAAGAAGACAATAAAACTTTTTAGACCTCCTAGGGTCCCTGGAAACCAATGGAGCTGGGGATGTGGGGGGGACCAGGCCCAGAGAGGAGAAGGGACTCATCCAAGGCCACACATATTTGGCATCAGAGGCAAAGCTGGAATTAGAACCCAGGTGTCCAGCTCCCCAGGCCAGGGCCCCCTCCACCCCCTCCCCAGCACTTAAAACAACTTATTATTTCTTTATATTTGAAGTGTCCAAATAGGCCTGAGAAAGCTGCTGGCCAAGACTCCTTATACTTTCTTGTGCTGAGTAAGTAACATTCTGTTCTCACCAAGACTGACACTTTGGAGCTCTGGGTGGGCGCAGAGCTAGGAAGGATGCTCTTTCTCCTGCTTGGCACCAGTAACTGGACTAACCAGCTTCCCTCTATGAAAGGGAAGGAGCAAGTGGGGCTGGGGAAGTTGCCGGGGGGGGGGGGGGGGGAAGCTTTCTGGTTTAAAAAAAGTTGCTTAAGGGAAAGAGGAGTCACTTCAATCCATCTTTATCTCTGCATCCCCATCACACCTGGAGGGCTCATTGCACCTCCTTACCCACCCACCAGGGTCCTTTCAGGCTCAGTTCACATGCCACTTACTCCCAGCCTTATCTGATACCACCCTCTTCACCCTAAAGCCCACCGGTGGTGAAATTGATCTCACCTTTCTTATGTTTCTCAAAGCAGTTTGTCCAGACCTCATTTTTGCCTTTCTCTTTCCTTGGTTCCACAGTTATTTCTGTACCCTTCTTTACCTAAATTAGACTGAAAAACTCCTTCAGGACAAGGCCTGTGTTGCTTTTTTTAAAAAATTATTTATTGGGGGCAGCTAGGTGGTGCAGTGGATACAGCACCGGCCTTGAAGTCAGGAGGACCTGAGTTCAAATCTGGCCTCAGACCAAACACTTAACACTTACTAGCTGTGTGACCCTGGGCAAGTCACTTAACCCCAATTGCCTAAAAAGAAAAAATTATAATTTTTTTTTAGTTTTCAACATTTACTTTCATATCTATGTTGTTTTTTATCTTTATATCCACAACAGGTACTTAATGAATGTGTATTGAATTGAATTATTGAATTTCCCCAAAAGCTATCCTTTTTTCCTGTGCAATTCTGGGCAAGTCACTTATTCTCCCAAAGCCTCAGTTTCCTCAGCTGCAAAATGAGGGGTGGTCTCCCCTCTGAATGGTCTCCAAGGCTCCTTCCAGGCCTAAATCTAGAAGCCTATGCTGTTTGTCCCAGAAAAGGGTGCCAGACAGAGAGAAAAGCTCTGGAAGAGAGAGAATTGAAGGGAGGTGTTGTTATACCCATTTTACAGGTGGGAAAATTATGGCTCAGAGTTAATTGCCTTGCCCAGGGTCACAGGTCAATTTGACATTAGAGACAGAACTAAGACCATCTTTACTGAACCTTAATGGTTATAAAATGCTTTTTAAATTTTTAAGAAATTCTAAATTCTAACATTTAAATAAAAAAAAATAAATCACAATTTCCAAATTGTTTTTGGTTTTTTTTTGATGGATTAATTTACTTTAACAAAATAATAATAAATACATCCATTTGCTTCCATGTCCCCTCCTGATCTCTTTTTCTTCTGTATTTATTTTTTAAGCTTCTTGACAACACCCGCTGGGAGGTGACCTAAACAAAGGTCATTATTCCCATTTTACAAATGAAGAAACGGAGGCTCAGGGAGGGGGAAATGATTTGCCCAGGGTGAAGCAAATGGTAGAGACAAGCCTTGGACAGTGGGCTTTGGGCTCCCAGATCCAATTATCTTTTTAGCACACAACCCCTCAATTTGGTCTGACCCTGCCTGGCATAAACTGATAATCAGGCTGGAAGAAGTTTGGGGGCCAAAGAAATGGAGCTTAGGGTCAAACATTTTCTACGCCCCGCCCCCCCAATCTGCATAGCTAGATAGTGGGGACCTGACTGCCATCCGTGATTCTCCAGGTTTATGGAACCTTGCTTACCTCCTCTGGTGCCAGTAATGCACCATAGCCCCTCTCCCCCCCCCTTTTTATATCTGGGCCAGCTGAGGTCTGGGCTTTGATGACACAGGTTGCTGTGGGTTCCAGAGCCCACATCTGCAAGCATGCCAGATGCAGCTGTTCTTTGGCATTAGGGCCCATGGGGCCCATGAACAGGCTGAAGGAAGATCAGAGGCCGTCTGGACAGTCTAGGACCTCCATCAGCTCTAAGCCAGAGGCTGAATCAGGAAGAACAGGCCTCAGCTTCGAACCATCCTGGCCTGAGCACCTGGATTCCATCTGCCACCTTTTGGCGCGGGAATGGCGGGAGAGGTATTTCAGGGATAGCTTTCTGGGAGGAAGAAGTAGAGAGAGGGGAAGTAGCCTGGCATCATCACCCCTTTGGCATCTGCTCAAACTTCCTCTTCCCCTACCTTAGCCAAAGAACACAGAATGATAGAGCGGGGAGGAATTTTAGAGACAGTCTAAGACAGTGCTTCCTAACCTTGTTTGCATGTCATGGACCCCAACGGCACACTGATGAACCTACAGATCCCTTCTCAGAAAACCGTTTTGAATAAAATAAAATACATACAATTACAAAGGAAACCATTTATATTGAAGTATAGTTATTAAAATATTTTTTAAAAAACAAGTTCACAGGTCTCATGTTTTGAACCTCTAACTCAAGTCCAACTTTCTCATTTCACAGGCAAGGAAACAGGCCCAGAGAGAAAAGGAACTTGCCTATCGTCACAGGGCAGCAAAGTTGGGGCTAACTTCTCAAATTCCCCATCTCCAAGTTTAGTTTCTTTTCCCTACACCTCATAACTAGCCTTTCTCTTAGAGTCTCCCAAGTCCCAGAGTACACAGCGTTGACCTTATGAAGTCAGCCCAATCAAAAGTCCAACACTATTCTGTCTGCCTTCTTCCCTCTACCCCTAAGGAAAAGAGACCCATGACATAGAGCTTCCCTGTCTACTTGAATCCCTTCTTGGCAAACTAGAGTGAAAAGAACATGGGATTTAGAATCCGAATCAATCCACTGACAAACAATTATTAAGTGCCTGCTGTATATATGCCAAATGCCATGCTAAGCATGAATACAAAGACAAAGAAGGTCCTGCCCTCCGGGACATAGAGTCTGTCTGAGGAGATAATATACTGCTCTAGAAGACCTGGATTCTATTTGAGCTGTCAGCTTTGTGACCTTGGGTAAGTCATTTATCAAGAGATTATAGAATTTAGAGCCAGGAAGGACTTTAGAGGTCAGCTCACCCAGAGACCAAATGAAGAGTGGATCCCAAGGTCCTCTAATCCCAGTCCTGTTGTTCTTTCTGCTGGTTGCTTTAAAACTCTCTGAAGCCTTAGCTTCTTCATCTCTAAAATGGGGAGAATTAACGCTTGTAATACCTACCTGGCAGGATTATTGTAAGGAAATTGCTTTGTAAATCTTAAAAGTGCTATTGACATGGGAGCTCCAGTCTGAGCTGGGAGCCTCCGACCCACAGCCTGACCCTTGGTCTGTGGTTTCTCAGCCCCACTGAACCTCCTACCTTCCTGTCCTCACCTTCCACCCATCTCACATCTCAGCTCTGTTTCCAGGTCATTAGCACCAGGAGTGACCCTGGGCCCTACCCTAGCTCCCCCAGGCTCCCCTACCCGCCCTGGGTGCCTTCCTACTGTTCATTTCCTGTCTCATCAGCAGGTCCTAATCTCTGACAGGCCTTCTCTCTCACCTACCCATTACCCATTTCCTTTCCCATCCCCCCAGGGCTGTATCCCACTCCCCACCCCTCAAATAGAATCAGGTGTCTGAGAGAAGTCCCCTGGCTCCCGTTTGGGTCAACTTTTCGATTTCCCCAGATGGAAGGGGCTGCCCAGAGGTTATCTATCCCCCTCCCTCCAAGGAGATGTCTCACTGAAACCATTCCAGTGTTAAAATGGTTTTTAAAGTCTCTCCCATCCTTCCAAACCTCACCTAGCCATCTCAGCCTCAATGGGCCCCAAATGTGAGACATTCACAGAGTCCCCTCAGAACTTCCAACTCTTCATTGGTGTTCAGAAGAGGGAAAAGATTGCAATGGGAAGTAACAGAAAGAGCAATAATCTGGAGACAAAGAAGGCTTGGGTTGGATTCCCTGACCTTTGGAGCCATGAGCAAGGCATATCACTTCTCCCTCTGCAGAGATGAGCATGAAATATTGCACAGACTGTCAGAGGCTCTTGACAGTGGGCTCATAGATTTCATGCTGTAAGGAACCTCAGAGGACACCAAGATGAACCCCCTTGTTCCACCAATGAGACAGCGGAGGCCCAGAGGGTTTCAGCGACTTGCCCAGGGTCCCACAGTAGTATGGGTTAGAAGCAGGATCTGAACTCAGGGCCTCTGACTCGGCATTAATGTTCTTTCCATTGCACCAAACTGCTTCTGGAGGGATTTTACTGAACTGCCTCTTTATAAGAAAGAGCTCAATGAAGGAATAAGGAGAGTGGGAGGGATAGATTTTTTAAAAAGAGGGTGATGTACAAACAAAAGACATGCATGCACACATTCTTCCTTTAAATGAATAAGTTGGACTACATGGTCTCTTAGGTCCTTTCCAATTCTAAATCATCATTTGGTAAAATTAGTCAGGGAAGGCTTCCTCTAGGAGGAGGGATTTATCAGCCCAGTCCCATTTCCCAGACTTACCCTGGGGTGGCTACTATTGACTTTCTTGTTTTCATCTCAGTAGTAGGGAATAGCCCCTGGTTCTCCCCTGATCGGTCCCAGCTAAGCTCTGGGCTCAGTCTCCTGGGCTCTGGGCCCCATTGTAGCTGCCCCTGGGGTCCACATGCCTCTCCTCACCCTGACACTCTTCTCAGGCCCACCTTCCCTGCTTGGGGGCTGGGGACTGGGAACAGAGAACTCTGCTCTGCTTTTCCCTGTTGGCCCCGTTCAGGCCCATTTAATCTTGGCAAAAGGCAATTTCCTGCTTTGGGAAAGAGGGCTGGTTTTAAAAAGGCTTAATAAAAAAGAAGGGGGGGGAGGACAAGAGAAAGGAGAAAGTCAGAGGAAAGAGAAGAGGTAGAGGAGAGGAAAGAATAGGAGAGGAGAGAAGACATGGGGAGAAAGAGACAAGGGGGAAGGGGGAGGGTGGAGAAAGAAGGAGGGAGGGGGAGAGAGAAGAGAGAGAGAAGAGAGAGAGAAGGGGAGAGAGACAGAAGAGAAGAGAAAGGAGAAAGAGAGAAACAGGGTGGGAAGGAGAGGGAGAGAGAGAAGAGAAAGAGGAGAGGGGGGAGAGGGAGGAGAGAAAGAAAGAATAGAGGGAGATAAGAGAGAGGGAGGGAGGGAGGGAGAGAGAGAGAGAGAGAGAGAGAGAGAGGAAAGAAAAGGACAGTGGGAGATGGGGGAGGGAAGGAGAGGGAGAGAGAAAAGAGAGGGGGAGAGAGGGGGCAGAGAGAGAATAAAGGGAAAGAAGGGGGAGAGAGAGAGTAGAGGGAGAAAGAGAAAAGAAAGAGTAAGGAGGGACAGAGAGAGAGAGAAGGAGGGGGAGTGGGGGAAGGGCACCATTCCAGGTGGAAGAGGAGGTTTCTCTAGGATAATGAAGGATGCTTTGGGGCCCCTACCCAGGGAAGATAAAGGGGGACAGGGCCTGTTTTAGGGCCAGGAAAAGGAAAGCCTGGTAAGAACTAGAATTAGGAACCTCAGACTTGTAAGGACCACTTTAGTGGGAATAAAAACAAGAAATTCTCAGTGGGAGATAACTCCCGCCTCCATCCCTATGTGTGTATCAGCTTCTCTGCACACATACACTCCGCCCACTGCCATCCCCTTTCCATCAGCTGCAGGAACCTTGTACCTTCCAGTCAATCACTGGCTGGAGGGGCCTCCTAAGATGGGCTGTGCGGCTGGCTGAGGCTGCAGCCAGGGAGCTGCCTTCCCTCGGGCTCCCTCCCTCACCCTTGTCCTGCTCGCTCTCTCCCTCACAGCATCTCTGGCCCAGTCCCCTCCCTAGCAGCTCTGGGACACTTAGGCAGGGGGTGGGGGCAGGAGGGAGAGACAGCTTCCAGAGCAATGTAGTGCAATGGAAAATGCCCTGGACTTGGTGCCCTTCAAGTTCCTGGCACCAATTCCCCATGCCACCCAAGGCAAGTCACCTTCTCTTTTGTTGCTTCAGATGCTGCTGTTGTTACTGTAGTCAGGAGGCTAGGGTTCAAGTCCAAGGCTCTGCTGCTTATGAGCTTTGTGACCCTGAGCAAGTCACTGTACTTCCCTGAAACTTCAGTCTTCTCATATGTAAGATAGGGCTCCTATAACACTTGCCCTGTTGAGTACTATAGAAGTAGGAATTATTATAATTGATAATAACAAATAGAAGGGGAAAGAAAGAGGGGTCAGATTAGAACTAGAAATGATCCTTTCATTTTGCAGGAGAGGAAACCAAGGGCCAGAGATGTCAGGGTCATATAGCTAATAAGTATTGATGTTTCATTTTTTTTTCTGAAGGTGGGGGAGGGGAAGGCTCAAACCTAGGTCTGTCTTCCTGATTCCCAGACTGGAAATCTATCCACTACACTGGGGGAGCGGGGGATGGGAGGGGACTTGGATGTATCTCTGCTAGTGAGTCCTTCAGATGATTGAAAAGTGAAGACATGGAAAGGCTTCTGTGAAAGTGCAGCCTCTGGACTTAGAGAGAAGATGGGGTGAGAACAGGCTTTGTGCCACGGAGGGCATTGCCACGATTTCCCATTGGCCCCTTTGTTTCTAGAAGATGATTAAGGGTTCACATTTATATGGTACTGTTTGCAAAGTGCTACTTTGATCATTTGACTGGTACAAATACTCAGAGGGCTCCCAAAGAGAGGGTTATGGGTCATTTCAATTCAATGATCATTTATTCAGCACCTAGAGATATAGGTTTTTTTTGGGGGGAGTAGGCAATGGGGTTAAGTGACTTGCCCAGGGTCACACAGCTAGTGAGTGTCTGAGGCCAGATTTGAACTCAGGTCCTCCTGACTCCGGGGTCAGTGCCCTATCCACTGTACCACCTAGCTGCCCCGCCTAGAGATATAAAGAGAAAAAGGGTCTTGGTCCTCAGGTGACATACAGTCTACTGAGTGGTATGCAATATGCAAACAAATTAAAAACAGACTCAACTGAGGAAGGACCTCGTGATTCACTAAGGGGATCAAGAAAGGCTTCCTGTAAGAAGGCACCTGAGCAGAGGCTTGAAGGAAGCTAGCGTATCTAAGAGGTGGATGTGGCAAGGGAGTGTATTCCAGGCATGAGAAATAGCCTGGGAAAAGACATGGAGATAGGAGATGGAGAATTCCTGAAGAGGAGTCAGAGGAAAGGAGGCCTGGAGCTAGATATTGGAGGGCTTTAAATGCTAGGCTGAGATGTCTGTATTTTGCGCTAGAGATGATAGGGAGACACTGAGGATTTTTGAGAAGAGGAGTGACCTGGTGAGAAGGCAGTGTATTTATTATAATGGAAAGGGAGGTGGATTCAGAATCAGAGTCCATGCTGGCTCTTCCCTCTTCCTACCTGTGTGACCTTTGTTTATAAAGTGAGGGTGGCCTTTAAGGTTCTGTCCAGTTCTGAACCTATGATCCTGAACTGTAGGGATACTGATTCAGGATACAGTGTTCAGGATGGATTGGAGAAGGGAGCAGCACGGAGACCAGAGGTGATGAAGACTGGAAGACACAGGACCGATAATGACCCCAGCCAGTCTGCTTTACACAGGAAGGAGGCGTGGGGCTGGAGGCCAGGACTGCTTCATTAGTCCTGAGTCAGGTCCCTAACTTGGCATTGCACTCAGTATAAAACTGAGTTGATTGCAGGGGGAACTCTTCAATTCTATCAGTTTTGTTGTTTAATAGTTTGGGTCATTTACACCTCTTTGTGACCCCATTGGGGGTTTTCTTGGCAAAGATACTGGAGTGGTTTGCCATTTCCTTCTCCAGCTCATTTTTACAGATGAAGAAACCAAGGCAAATAGGGTTTAGTGACTTCCCCGGGGTCACCTAGCTAGGAAGTGTCTGCGGCGGTTTTGAGCTTGGGTCTTCCTGACTCTGGGCCAGGTGCTCTATCCATTGTACCATCTAGTAGTTTAGGCCCCTGCTTACCTTCAAAACTCATCCTCTTTAGGAAACTTTCCCAGATCTTCCCTAGGCAGAAGTGATCTCTCCAGCATCTGAACAACTCTGGCTTTGATTCCTCACTTTTCTTATGACCCTTATCAGATGAGCTTCCTGAGCACAGGGTCTGGGTCTGTTCCTCCTGTCTCCCCATGACTGTAAGCTTCCTGAGGGCAGGGCCTGCATCTGCTCATCTGTGTTGTGAGGGGTTAGGAAATGCAGATTGTCAAGATTGATTCATTCCTGTATCCAGCCCCCACTGCAGGGATCCCCCAAAGGCTGGCATCCTTCCATCCCTCTGAGTGTTACTTGTTTGATTCAGAGGCTGTTAAATTACAATTAATTACAATTCATTTAGCTTTTAGAATGTCTAGGTAGTTTTACAACCTTAGCTTCAGAGAAAACCATTTCTGGCCTCTTCTATGCTCAGCGATATGTGGGCCAGGAAGGTACAAGAGCGTAGGACATGATCCCATCCATTTAGGAGGGTCCAGTTTATTGGAAGATGGGACCTGAAGCAAGGAAGACAGGACACACTGCAACTGCAAAAAACAAAACCCGAGGCAAGGTCCATCTCACCACCCACCTTTGGATTCTCCCCTTTCTTCCATCCTTTCTTTACATGCTGCTGGATAAATTTTCCTGAGGTGTAGACGTGGTCATGTCCCTCCCCTGGGAAAAACCCAACAATGGTTTCCTATCCTGCACCAAATAAAGTCCAAGCTCTTCTGCCTGGCGTGTGATGTCCTCACAATCTGATGACATTCATTCTCCTGATCTCCCTGATCTCCACACAGTCCGTGTTCTGGTGAATCTGAATACTGTACTTTCCTACCTCCACACGATGTCATTTACTACAAGAAACTTTCTCTGAATTCCCCTGTGGCAAGGCCCTTTGTCCTAGGACTGCATTCAACACTGGAAACTCCCATGCATTCTTTTTTTTTTTTTTAATTTTTGGGGAAGCAATGGGGTTAAGTAACTTGCCCAGGGTCACACAGGTAGTAAGTGTCTGAATCTGGATTTGAACTCAGGTCCTCCTGAATCCAGAGGCAGTACTCTATCCACAGCACCACCTAGCTGCCCCTTAAAGCCTGCCTCTTAACAAAACTGTAGCTCCCATAGTGCCCAGCACAGGGCTTTGAACATAGCTGATCTTATTAACTATTTGTTGAATGAAATGGAATGTGAATGGCCCACATTTGGGTTCTTTTTCATACTAATCATTGTAAAGGGCCCAAAGTGCGAATCTCCCCATAGCCAGCTTTCTCCAGCACCTTCATCATTCATCACCATTACCTCTCTTCTCCCTGTTTCACATGTGGACAATCTGGGCCCCAAGATAGTGATTTCGCTGGTGGGGTTCCTATCTCCTATCCTGAGCAAAGGAAGAACTCTTTGGTCTCCATTTATCCAATCTGGAAAGTGGGTGAGAGACCTTTTGTTCTAAGTCCCTTCTTCTGGGATTGGGGGTGACTGGTCCTTGGTAGAACTATGGGCAGGTGGGGCATAACCCCTCGGCCAAGCCAGTGCCCTGGCCTTGCCTCATCCCTGTGCCAGCAGCTTGGGTTGAAAGATCACAAGAAATGAAGTCAGAGGCTCTGGGTTCGGATTGTGGCCTCACTCTTTACTCCCTGTTGGTTGGGTCTTTTGTTTTTAGAGGACTGTGATGTCATAGGCCATGTCTTGACCTTCAGGTGAATTGGATTTAAGTGAGGCAGAGCTGAGCAAAGTCTTCAGCATCCCTCTCTCTTCCTATGTCATCAAAGTCCAGAAGCAAGAGAAAAATCAAGACAGGATGCAGTGGGGCTCTGGCTATGTCTTTTTTTCCTCTCGAGGCCTCAGTTTTCTCATCTGTAAAATGTCTGGTTTTAGGAAGGCTCCTCCCGACTTGGACATTCCATGTCGTGTGTCCTAAAAGGCCTTCCAGCTCTAAATCCTATTAATCTATGGAACTCTGAGGCCACACAGAGAACTCAGCTCTGGGGCTCCCTCTGGCCCCTGAACAGCCTTCATGCCTCCAGGTCTCCTGGCCTCCTTCCATGCCTGTTCTAGGTAATGGATCGACTGAGCCAGCGTCTCACTGATGAATGAGCCCCAAGTCCCACCGAGGGAGGCCCCAGGGCCCCTCACAATAACCAGCCGTCAGACATGGGGGTGGGGGGAGGCCCTGGCAGGAAACTCTGTTTCAGAGGAGGAAAGAAAGTAAATCAAATCGTCATGTTTAACCTATTTAATGAGCCGCTCTGGGAGCTGGGAAACCTTTAACCATCACACGGAAATGCCATGGAGAGCCATAGAGACGGAACGTGTCAGGCTCCGGCTCAGGGATGGGAGGGCTGGAAAGACAGGATGGGGCTCACGCAGAGACTGTACGTGAGTGAGTCTGTGTGGACATGTGTCTGAGTGTGAGCGTGTCTGTGAACCTGTGTGCGTGTGATTGTGTATGAAGAGTCTGCACATGTGGGAAGCAATGAATGAGACATTGTGGACTTTTGTATGAGTGTAAGCCTGTGTGGCGTGTGTAAGCGTGCATGTGTATGCACCTATTCCTGCATGTATTTATGTAGAAGAGTATGTGATATGTTACTGTGCTTACATTGCGTAAGCCTGTGAGACTGAGTGCGTGAGTACACATGGATAAGTCTGGTGCATGGGCAGCCGAGGGTGGGTGAGGCTATATGTATCAGACAGAGGGTGCATGAGGGCGTGAGTGTGTCTGACCAGGGACGTGCGAGTGAGAGAGCTCATCAGCGTCCGCACATTCAGGCACCAGGACATGTGTGCATGGGAGCTTGTGCAATGATGAGCTGATGCACGTGTGGAACTTATTTACATACGTGTTGTACATCTGTGAGCCCATGTGAAGGCAGTGGCATGTGGGCTTGGGATGGGTGTGTGGCATTCGTCCTCCCTCCCCCGCTCTCATAGCTGCTTCCGTCAGGGCCTTCTTTTATTTCCCTCAGCTATACTCCACAGAAAGAATGCTTCTTGAGGGCAGGGACAGCTCTGTTCTTGTCCCATCTTTGTAAATCCATCACTTCACACTGAGCCTTGCAATGAATCCTTGTTGGGATAGCCTGGACTGGGCCTCTGTCCCTCTGGGTATGTGCAGAGAATCCATTTCATGCGGGCATGGGCTGCCTCGGTGCACGCCCACACCCAAAGATGCACGTAGAGAAGGCCCCTCCCTAGCTGTGCCCATTCCTACTGTGGGGAATCTCCACCACGGGTGCAGCACGGAGTTTCGCCACCAGGGGGTCCGGCTGGCTCCATGTGCCTAGCCCCACTCTGACTGCTCCATTCAAATCAACAAACACTTATTAAGTTCCTACTGTATACAAGGCCCTGGGGAGACACAGAGGAAGATGACTCCCCCCCCCAACCCTCCGAGATCACAGCCTTGTAGGAGAGAAGACTGAGAGGGACAAAGGAGGGATCTGGGCAAGATGCCTGAGGGAAGTCTGAGAGGCGAAAAGAGCTTTTGTTTTGGGCCATCACAGAAGGCTGCTTGAAAGAGAGTGAAGAGCTGGGCCCTCAAGAGGGATTCCAGCAGGCAGAGATGGAGGCAAGCCTGTTTCCAAGCATCGGAAAGATGCCAAAGAAGGGGACAGGCCTGAGGAGGAGCAGGGAGCAGCCAGTGCTCCAGTTTGATCAGAATATGGACCGCGTGAAGAGGATTGGAGGGTTGGGTTTCCTGCTTTAATCTGACAAGGAAGCGTGGAGATCATGGAGGGCCTTGAATGCCAGGTGTTCCATTGAACACCAAATTGAGGAGTTTCGACTTTATCCCACTCATCCATGGGCAACTCCTGAAAGTTTTTGATCAGGGAGTGATGCGGTAAATACAGTACATTAGGAAGACTCCACGGGCAGCATGTGCGGGATGGGCTGCAGGGACAGGGCTAGGAGCTGCCGCAGCCTGGACTGCTATTCAGGGATGTGATTTCGGTGATGTTACTTTTCCTCCCCTAAGGGAGCTGCCTCCTCTGGTTCCTGATCCCTGGCTGGCTAGTTGCCATGGTGACATGTCTCTGTGGGGAAGAGAATGTTAGAGAGATGGGTTTCTGTAGGCTAAGCAGGGGAAGTTGGGATGCAGCATCAGGGGAAGAAACAGAGAGCACAGGGGAGCTCCCAGCAGAAAAGGGGGCTGATGTCATATTGCCAAGGTTAATTTCCTCCCCCCTGCCCACACACACCCTCATTACCTACACTTCCATCCTCCTGGATCGTGCCCCATTCTGACTTCTGGGTGACCTTCACAAGAGGTGAGAGAGGTGTGTTCTCAGCCAGCATCCTCTGCCCCAGAATAGCATCCCAAGGGGTGGCCCATTTTCTCATTTCACTGGTGATGATACCGGGTGCAGAGAGGGGAAGGGACTCAGGCAGGCCATGATAGCTGTCTTCTAATATTTGAAGGGCTGTCACAGGGATGAGGATTTCACTTGTTCTGCCTTTCTCCAAAAGCCAGAAGTAGGAACAAAGGGGTAAACTGCAGAGAGGCAGATTTAGGCTCTATGTAAGTAAGGCAGAGGTTCTTAGCCTGTTTTGCACCACGGACCCCTTTGGTTGTCTGGTGAAGCCTATGGACTCCTTCTTGGAATAATGTTTTTAAATATGTAAAACACATAAGATTACAAAGGAAACCAAAGCTTAATGAAAATAAAGACATAATTTTCCTCCATATACATCTATAAACCTGCTGAAATCTATCCAAGGACCCATAGACCCCCAGCTAAGAAGCCCTGGTGTAAGGAAAAATTTCTTAACCTTTAGGTTGATTTAATAGTGAAATGAATCTCTCTAAGAGATGGTGAGTTCACCATAACTGGAGGATGTCCCAGAGCCAGAAGGGACCTGAGGGGCTGTCTGCTCCAAAGCTCCTATTTTATAGATGAGGAAGAAATAGGGAGGTCAAGTGATATTCCTAAAGTTATCAAGGTCAGAATCATTAGAAGCAGTACTAAAACACAGGCCCTTGGACCTGAGAGCTCTTCCACTGAATGGACAATGTCATAAAGGGGATTTCTTATTCAACTTATGGGTTATACTCCATGACCTCTGAGGTTCCTTCCAGGTCTCTGAAGTCACAGAGTTTATTTGGGGCAGAGTTGGTACTATGGTTTGGGTCTCCTGGTTCTCATGCCAGCCAATATCTTTCCACTATATTCCAATGGTTCTCACAGTGTGGTCTAGGGGTTCTTAGAGGTCTCTGAGACTCTTTCTGGGGGTCGACGAGGTCAAAACTATTTTCATAATAATACCGAGATATTTTATTTCTAATATGGTAAATATCAACAGATAAAACTCATATAGACAAAAACTCTTTGGTGGTGAGGAGGGGTAATCTTAATAATTTGTAAAAGCAAAAAAAGTTTCCTGAGATCAAAAAGTTTGAAAACCATTGGTTTATCCTATCTGAGGAGTCAGGTGGGGATCCACCACCTTAAGATTTTTTATGGTACTCTAAAGTGTACAAAGCATTTTCTTCCCCAAATCCCAGGAATGAAAACTGTATACCTACTATTATCCCCATTTTATAAATGAGAAAATTGAGGAAGGGTAATGATTTACCCAGGGTCCCATAGCTAATAAACATGGGAGTGAGGCCATGAACCCAGGTCTTCTGTATTCCTGGCTATTGTTCTCCCTACTGGGCCATACTTCCTGTTGGCAAGAGAATGCCTAGCATTCATCCTCTAGGTCTCAGTCAAGTGCCAGCTGGTCAGGAGAAACTGGATTCACACAAAAATCTCTGAGAAGCTTGGGTCCCACTCCATTCCCACCCCACTTATCCCTGAAGGCCATAGATGGCTGACACAGGGTACGTTGTCGGTCTCCTGACCAAGGACAGTTGGCTTCTATAGCACTCTGTCAATCCTGTACTCAACAGCCAGGACTCATGGCAAGAAGCTATATTAAAGGTTTACTATGTTCTAGGCACTGTGTGCTTGTAGTGGATTTAGAGAGAACCTGGGCTCAAATTCTGTTTCTACTAATTCCTAACCAGCTGACCTTCAGCCAATCACTTCCTTTCCCTGGGCCTCAGTTTCCAATCTATGTGAAAGAAGGAGGTTGCATTTGAAGAGTTCTCAAATCCTTTCAGTCTCTAGGTCTTATAGTCTTGATTCTAGCACTGAAGTGTCCATGTGGAGGGGTGGGCTTATCTCTGGATATTCTTGGGAGGAATGGCATATTCTATTTTTGAGGTGATGAGATCTATTTCTATCTCATTGTCTTTCCCTTGGTTGGGGGGATGGGAAGCTAGAGAATCTGTGATTAGGCAGGCATGTGGGTGGAATACCCCTAAACCTGTCATGCCTTTAGGAGGCTTCCTGATTGCCTGAGAGGCAGCCTGGAATAATGGAATGGACCCAGGGAGCTTGGCACCAAAAGCCCAGGGAAATGAATTCTCAAATTGCCATGGGAGTGTTCTGAGAGGATGAACTCCATTCTCTTCTGAGAGCCAGGTGGGAGCCAGATGCTGTGGTCTGAGGACCTCGAAGGCCTCCCTAGGCATGGGGAAGGTTAGCTAAAGG